GAGAGGCAGAGGTCGAGTTCAAACCACGGACTTTCTGGGTAATAAATTCGCGCTTTGACCATCTCACCGGTACTTTTGAGATCCCATTGTCCTTAAACTGTGACCATACCGCAATCTCCTCATCTGTAATGGTCAGATTATATGGATTCTTATTAGTTCGTTATGTAAGGTAATGAATGAGCGAACTTTTATGAACCGCCGTTTCTAACAACTCCTCTTACTTGGTTGGTAGTAGTAGTATCCTTGTGGCACAACGTTTTGACCAGTCTTCTTGGTTGGATGCCATCAGAAGAAAGCTACCGAAGTGAATACATTGGTCACTCCAGTTACCCTTACAATGAAGAGTACGTTGCAAGCACCTATCCGGACGTCGAGTCACTAGTGCATACCCCAACTGGGAAAATTAATGTGCACATTGGTTGAAATACCAAAACAGGGCAGATATGATTAGCGAAATACACTCATTTGCAAATTAATTTAGTTTTGTGAGCGACTCACCTAGATCCCAGCTGAGTCTCTCGCCTATGATGATATGATGGAATTTAGAGTGGCATCAACTTATCGCTTATGAACAGGCGTACTCGAAAGTCTATCACAGAATTGGATGCTTAGTCGAAAGGCTATTGGCCAGATTTTGACCTATTGGAATTTTTATAGCGATGTCGTTTACTTGCCCGCAAATAGATCCTTCAAACTCAAGACGAACGTTTTCTGTACATAACTGAAATAAGCTCGTGTGAAACCCAGTCAAGCCCCGTCGCCAATTTAGGTTGACACTGATGGTTGAGTGGCTCTCACCAATGGCAGGTTTACGGCCATGAAGTCTCCGATGAACTAGTGACTCGAAAAGGTAACGAATCATCTTGAAGAAGCAAGGCCTGATATAACAGACATGTTATCAAAGTATGATCGGTGCACTAATTCAACTCGGTAACCGGGCCATCCAGAATAACTTGACACCCGAGCGCCGCTCGTACCACGGCTCAGCAGATTGATGAACAGGTCTACAATGCTCAGTATTGCTTTGACCTATGATTGCATCCAGAAGGTAGGACGAGAAACGCAGAGTGACCGGGGTTTGACCGATTGCTTGAGTCCCATGAACGACTCTCATATAGGTAGGTGTAACGAAGAGGCAAACTATTCCGTCGCCGATATGGTCGAATAAAATGCACCACTGAAGTTTTCGAACAAACGATAAACACAACTTGACCTGCGCCTGAGTGCAATCCGTTGATGAAAAGGCCGATCTAGTTTTCCCTTCGTGGATCTTGAAGTTGCACATTTTGAAACAGTGTCCTATTGGGAACTGTGAAGAGATGCCGATGGGAAGAATCCCCAACACAGTTTTGTGCGAAGTGTTTTTCTACCGTTAAACCACCCAAGTCTGATTTTCCAAGGTGTCAGAGGCGTTGGCTGCATAATTCATTCTTTACTGAGCGCGCACTTTTCGAAACGTGCCATACGTCCATAACAGTTCCACAATGCTACTTTATTTCCATAGGTGGGGTATCACAGATTGGAAGGAACCGCCCCATCCAACATCCCCCTGCATGCGTACATGGAATGATCTGGATGAAGGCATCATGAATGCCAGCCACGAATTAATACGTGCGACTTTCCGTCTGATCACAGAAGTTCCAAATTGCCTAACCCATGCTGCGCTACGAAATGATCGTCTGAATTTCGCCTCTCTAAAATTCGCCGCCTGCCTGGTACAGTGCCGTTCACATACGCAACCTAGCCGAACAACCACTTGTGTGATCAACTTGTTGCGCATAGTGGGAAACTGCTGTGTTGTCAAATGTCACGTGGATTTTACGCGTATATTTCAAGATGCTGAGATTTTGGATGTTCTCCGTTATTTGGCTGTTTGGCTTTCCTATCGAGTCGACTGGATGTACTGTGCGGAAGAGGTATGCTGGCTCCTTGCCAATACGGTCACCTCGATGAGCCTTTCCATCTTGCAGCCGAAGAGATGGAAGATCACCTATGACCTGTTTGTCTCTAGATGTCTTTTGCGCAGCCTGACCAACGACTCATGCTCATCACAAGCCGTTCGACTGTTACACAATTCCGTGTGTTTTGAGCAATTTGAGGTGATCTCAGCCTGGATATCTAGCCTTAACTGTGTGGACCTCGGAATTTCCAATCGAATTGGTCTTTGGCGCCTCAGAGGACATCAAAATCTGTCCGGTGAAGACAATTTATACATCATTCGCTTGTTCTGGCTAATCAGTACTATAAAGCGACTTGAGCAGAGCTGTTTACTGGCACATATTCAAAACCATTGTAAATATCTTTCTGTTTTCTTACATCTTCCTTGGATTCCACCAACGACGGGATCAGATCATGTGTACAGCGAAGCCATTCCTTCCAATGAAGTTGTCGATCTATTATTGAGCATCCAATGAATCATTTTCAAGCTGCATGATTTTTTTCAAAAAAAAGCTCATAAAAACGTACTTTTTCATGTTGATTTCTGCCTTGCTTTCATGTAGAACGGACAAATATGGGTACTGTACTTCACAATGCATGACCCATATTGTTCAATGCAGCTGAACTGCAATTAATCAAAGACCGATGTTGGACTTCTACACAGACACTAACGAATACATTGTACGGATACTAAATCATGCGTCTGGACCTCACCGTTTCTAACCACATTCCTTATTGATTTCTTCTCGATTTCATTAGGTTAATTAACGAGAAACACGCGTTTTGTGTGCATTTTGTCACTACTTCTGTACGACAGCTTCAATAGTCGTACGACCGAATTCCACAAAGTTTGATTCGGTCAAGTTTGATTCGATCAAGACGTTTTATGGGATAATCTTGGTGACATAAGTTACGTTTGCTACTAGCTGCTCGGATGTGTGGCTTCTAGATGCCTGTGAATGTCCTGTAGTTTCCGGGAAGAGGGCCGTCTTCAGGATGACCTTGACTTAGGCTTCTCTGCCAGACTTCTGTAAAACTTTCTATCCCTGGAGAGACCACCCGCATACTCTTCTAGTGAGTTCATGATTCTGTTCCCAAATGGTGTGACGAGACAGCTCAGTCGTTAAGGTGCGACCTTACTGACCGGAAGGCCAGTGGTTCGAACCCAGCCTCCACATCTTGGCTGCTCCTGGGTAGGCTGGCGGTTTCTCCGTCCCCGTGCTCGCTTCGTGCTGCATGGCAGCTAGGCACCGAAAGGATGTTACAGCTAGACGATTATTATTTTAATCATTTTTGTGGTGATTCTATCCTCGATTTTGCCCACAATATTGTATGGGAACAATGCCGCACATGTGGGGATGTGGCTGCCCGTTTTGGACGACGTAATTCTGGGACTCGAGTCAAGACGTCGGTCGCTTCTAAACCGCCCAAAACTTATCTTAGCTAGCTTCACAAATCCAAGCCGAGGATAGTTCCATACTGAGCCTGCAGGAGATTGGAGAGGATGAGCGCTGTGAGTTGTTGGCCTGGGTTGGGAATATTGCTTCTAGAAGATTTGACAAATCATTTTTCTCAACCTACTTTTGGACGGCGCAGAAATGTGAGGAATCCGATAAACCAACACAGATATATTTAAACGACCGAGCAGGCATCGCAGCTCAACTGGGGTTTCAGTCGTTGGTTGCCATTCTTGAAGTAAATGAAGCAACGACGCGAGATTTCCAGTGACTGGTGCATCAGTGAAAAAAACACCTGGTGTTACGGTGATATAGTACAGGTGTCTTTGAATTTAGGCCAGTAGGATGACAAACAGACACTACCTTGAAGCAACAAACTCAGGGTCCAATTGTCACACAATAAGGCAACCTTTAAGGATCAAGATTCGTACAAGTAACGTTCTACTCATAAGTCTGCTGAAAACCCTTCCGCAGTCCACCACCAGTCTCGCTCTTCTTGTAGGCCCAAGTTTGCATCAACTTTATGTTCTATTCGAAGCCGCATCAGACACAGTCAGACACACACGAATTTAGTTTTGACTGAAGGCATAACCGACTGACTCTCTCGTTTATGACGGTCCGCTTCAACTGAATTTGCTGTATCAGGCCGCCTCATATTTCAGTTGGTACGATTTTGCGATATCGCAAGACATCGTCTAGACTTTACACACTGTCCATAAGGTCGCTGAAAATTCATCAAAAGCCCACAACCAGTTCCGCCCTTCTTGGAACCCATCAGGTAGGCGTTCTCCTCAAGTTTTCGCCAACCGTGTGTTCTACCTGAACCCGGACCGATGTCGATCGCCATCAACAGGAGATTCAGTTGAGTCTCTTCTCAAAACCAAATGTGTGCTTGAATAAGAGTATTGTCGGGGATATCTAAGCCTTCGAATAGCAATGAAGTAAACGCATCCATCATATTAATGTAAGCCATCATTGTCCGGGATTGAACCGGCGTTCTTTGTGAAACTCGCTCAACACGAGAATGGAAAACACACTCACATACATGTATCGCGATATCTCGAATATATCTCGGTAATTGAGATTGATTATTATCTCTTTTGGTACATTTTTCCACGTAATGTACTCCAACTTTTTCTCACATGCATATGCATCGTTCAGCTGCAGCACCCTTTCGGGGCCTAACTGCCATACCACCTGAAGGAAGCACAAGGGCTGGGATACTGTCAGGTTGCCCAAGCGGGGAAAGTCGAGAGGCAGAGGTCGAATTCGAACCACGGACCTTTGGTCAGTAAAATGGTGTCCTTGCAACTGAGCCTCTTCCTGTGGTCATGCAATTCAACTAAACTAAAAGTTTCACTTAAAATGGATTTTCTTTAGAAAAAATTACGCTTCAGGAAAATACTGACTCTGTAAGTGGAATTAACGGAGTCGCTACCATCGCCTGATTCAATTGTTCCCACGTACGTTGATGCATTGCCTTTTAAAAATGATATTCGATGCCTGGTTTTATCTCATCCAGTGTCCCCTCACAAAAAAACCAGACTGAATTCAGTTCGACCGGGAGAACAACTAAGATCACGATTTAAGACAAAACTTATTGATTCCTGACCGGTAGTAGGTTGTAGAAGCTGAATCACGTGACCACATATCACGCGGTAACGGCGTCCAAAAATAGGCTAGTATGAGCAAAAAGAAGCCCAGCAAAAACTGAAACTCCGGGTGTCTCAACCGAGGTCAGTCGTATTCCAATCAGTGGTGTGAATGTGTGTCCACATAAATCGTTGAACGATATCAAAAATGGGTCGGATGTATGGGAAACTGCAATCGTACATCCACCGTCGCTGTGATGAGAAAACCATCGTTGAGCGGGACAAAACAGTTGTGGGTAGTTCGAATGAGTGAAAACACCTGCGTTTCAGCAGGCGTGACGGTGAGTGTAACAATGCTTTGGGTACAGCAGTGTAGACGTCTGCCCAAAAACGTCCAGCGTACAGTGGCCTCCTGTGGAAACTGCAATTCCTCAGCCAGTACTGATGTGTGGGGTACCTGATCCTCATAGAAATTCGGAAGAGGAAATTCTTCAAGGTACTTCTTTGGAGCTTTTCACACAGGAACGAGGATGTGCCGGCTAATTGGCTAACAGCCCACGATCACATCACCTGTTCGGTAGGCGGTGGTGTGCGATCCAAGATGAGGCTTGTAACTCCAGTAACATCCATGGATAATCACAGCGTTGCAAATTAGACAAGAACCAGAACTGTTGTGTTCCATCCGGAGCCAAAATCCTGTACGTTCCTCCAAAGAAGGACCACACTCTTCCGGTTCCGACCAATTTCTTATCCGATTATGGGATAACTATTGTGAACACCATCTGCGAACACAGAATGTCCGGTCGTTCGGTATTCGACCTTCCTCTAGCGGCACAGAGCACGGCACTTATCAACAAAATGCTCCAGTAAATACCGTTTTTCTCATGGTTCCGAAACTGTATACCATGGGACCGTATTTCCCTGTTCAAGATTAGATCATATTGCCATCCATGTGCAATATTCATCCATGACTGTTTACCCGGTTGGGTGGTCCAAACCAATCGAAATCTGCGACTTTTGAGCTTGGTCTTGGACGGCGTAGCCCATGTGTGTCTATTCCTCTAAAGTCAAAAAGGGTAAGCACCCACTCGGACTCCGGAGGTGTTAAACGACTTACCATCTGCCGCCTATTGAATTGGTCCGAAGATCACATTAACCACTAGATCGCAACAAGACAAGCAGCCAGATCTTCACAAGTCCAAGGTCGCCACAAGATTAAGCCAGTCAAAGCAAGTCAAGTTTCTTGAAACACTTTTGTGGAGCTGTCGTCCCTTAAGTGCAGTTACTTTAGATCGAAAACGCAAGAGAAGAGTGCATAGCTTTTCATGCCTGTTAGGAATCATCGGCAGTGAACTTCGTAGGACCGTTTGGATGAATCAAACCCGAAAACTTCGGACTAGTGATTTAGGACCATAGCGTTTGGCCACGAGTTGTTACCCGCTGCCTCGTGGGTCAGACTTTTGAGTCAAAGGCTCAAGGTGGGGTATCCCAACCAAACCCCTTCTTCGACCCTGACAACCGGGATGTATCATTTGCCCGCGCAGTTTCAACCAAATCCCTTCCTCTGCCCTGACTACCGGGATGTATCATTTGCCCGCGTAGTTCGGTATCAACCGATGTCCCCTCCGAACCCCTTCACACCACACAAGCAAACGTCGCTTGGTCGTTTGACTGTCGGTTATCTGGCCGAAGGGCCTTATGCTTCTCGCTCCCTATTAACAATGGATAAAATAACACCTGGATCCACGAGATCTTTTCTATATAGGAGCTTTCAAAGTCCGTACTCTATGTCAAATTAGCAAACAGGCTGCGCTAGATGAAACATTATACTCCCTCAAAACTGATGTATGCTGTGTCTCCGAAACACGCATACAAGACTCAAACGTGGTTATGCATCTCAGAACGCCAAGGATGAACTCAGCTCTCTTACATTCCTCCCTCTGTGTGCCCGTGATCCAGAAGCTATGACTCCTGAAATATATTACATTCCTCCCGCGATCCAGAAGCTATGACTCCTGAAATATATGGCGAGGCAGTTGCACTCAACTCCAGGGCAGAACGCGCTTTGCCGAATTGGATCCCAGTGAATAGTCGTCTTTGCGCCGGCTTGTTATCCAGCTCAACCAAGCTCTTGATATAAAAAATGGTGTCTGTTTGTGGCATCGGCTTATGTCCCAAAAGACTACAGTTCTGATGCTGAGAAGGATACTTTCTATCGAGAGTTATCGGGGCTCGTTTGTCAAGCAAGAAGCGGGCGATATGAATGCCCAAGTCGATCGTCTGAGCTCCATCGAATCACATCTAACAGGTCGATCCGGAGTCGATGCTTGCCGCACAGAAAACGGAAAGCAATTTCTCCAGTTGTGCGCTGATCATCAACTGCTTCTGGCCAGTACGAACTTTCAGCATAAACGTTCACATCGCGTA